GCCTGGAGTGGCTGGCTAGAATAACAGAAGATACTTCTTGAAAGAAAGACCGACAGAAAAAATATAAAACAATGGCAATCTGACTGACTACTACAAGAAAAAGCAAGTTGCTCATCCAGGAGACATCAAGGCAAGCGGTCGGTTCCCCTCAGGGCAAACCCCCTTCCAAGACTAAGACTCAATGGGAATACACGAGCAGACATGCACTCTGACTGGTGACCACGTTGGTCACCAATAAGGGAAAGTGAGGGAAAAACAGCAATGAAGCTGTGAGCTAAGTCCAGCCACATTCAATACACTCCTGTGAACCCTGATTGGCCAGCAGTGTGGCAAGACCTGGGGATTCCTGGACCCAGAGTCAATGACATAACCACAGATGACTAGAGTGGAGAGTGAAGCATCCAGCTGAAAAGAAGTGAGGGCCTATGCACAAGAACACCTACACTTGCAAATAATACCCACTTGACCTGGCTTCAATGGCAGGATGATCAGAACTCAACTAGAAGAACAAAGAAAAGAGTAATCTGATACAATTTGATGAACTTGACCTACACCTATGGATGTAGTAGCTCAAAAGAGGGAACAAATCTTTACAGCAAGGATCATTCCCACCCCTTCGATACACAGTGTAGACAGGGATGGGCAACTTGGACATTGGCTACTCAAAATGTGGGCGGTGGGGGGCTACAAAGGCAAGAAGTGACCGGCTTATAAGCTTTCAAGAGGGAGCCTGGGTCCAGATGGTGCAGAGGAAGGTACACTCTCCACTGACTAGTATCCAATCTGTCTGGGCGGGGCTGATGAAAGGAGATGGGGATAGCATTCATGTGATACAAGAGTGAATAATTACTATCAGGACTGATTGTGAGGGTTGGAAGTGTAAAAATAGACATTTTGTAGTAAAAGGAGGGGAGTGGTTGTCTTTGCAGGCCAGGAACGGTGGCCCCTGGGACCATCAAGGGAGAAGAGCAGAGTGCGGGACCCTACCCAGAGATGATGTAATGCCAGAGATGGAGGCAGAGATGATGACATGGAGAGATGGAGTGACTGGGGACTCTAGACCCAGATAGGGAGATGGCTGCGTGTTGATGACCTGGGGTCAGGCTTGCAGGTTATATAACCTTTGGTTGGTTGATGATGCATGGAGGGGATTGTAACCATGGCAATGAAACAATATATGATAGGATGATTGTAAAGCTAATATTCTCCCATATAAACTATCACATAATTCACAATAAAACATTAAAAGAAAAAAACAATGGACTGCAAACCACAAACTCCACGGTTCTAGCCCTCCAGCCGCTCTGTGGGAGAAAGATGAGGCTTTCTGCTCCCGTAAAGATTTAAAGCCTCAGACGCCCTACGCATGGTTTCTGTGATTTGGAACTGACTCCACAGCACTTAATAACAGCAACAAATGTTCTCCTATGTTTCAGGTCTTTAAAAACAATAATAAAAGAACTAAGACATCGCATATCAGCACATGATCCCCAATCATTTACTCGAGTCCCTGACTCTGGCTCTAGATATAACTGCTTCACTGAGGTAGCTGTGTAAGCCACCCTTCCTGGCCAGCCTTTTGTACATTCACCCAATGATTTTATACTCATAAACCATACCAGATTGTTGCAGAAAGAGTTGATCTTCAAACAAGAAAAAGAGTCTCTTGTCCTAGTTACAACTCTCAGGGTTTTGGATGGATATTCTAGAAAGAAACTAGGGCAGAGCTTAAAATCTTCATGACTCTGTTCTCGATCCCCATCAGAGTTTATTCTTCACATTTCAATGCCAAAGTCACTGGAGATATGAACGTAAAGCAGACCCAGTTCCTGCCCAAAGTTCAGAGATACTGACTCAATCTGGGGTATTTTCAATCTCCTCATATTCTTACAAAAGCTGGATAATGAATAAGGAAGGCCAGGAAAGAGTTGATCCTTTTGAATTATGGTGTTGGCAAAGAATATTGCCAGATAAATGAACTAATCTGTCTTGGAAGAAGTACATCCAGAATGTTTCTTGAAAATGAGAATGGTGAGACTTTGTCTCACATACTTTGGACATGTTCAGAGGAACCAGTCCCTGTAGAAGTACATCATGCGTGATAAAGTAGAGAGTGAAAAAGAAAACCCTCAATGAGCTAGATTGACACAGTGACTGTAACAATGGGCTCAAACAGAACAACCAATCTGTGTTTCGTTCTGTTGCACTATGAGTCGGAACCAACTGGACAGCACTTAATGATAACAGTGACTTATGCTCTTAAAAAAGAATGAGTCACTGGCTGGGTTTCCTGAGGCAGTTGGAGACTTGACAGAGAATGTATTGTTTGAGCTTCTTGGAGGAGAAGTAGGAGGATGGGAGGTCATTCTAGGTAGGAAGACAGTGAATGAGAAGCACAGAGGATGGTGAGGTCTTTGTTCTAGAAAGTCAACTAAAGAGAAACATCAGAGGCGGAGAAACAAGTTAAAAGACTGGCAACCGTCCAAGCAAAAGATGACATGATTACAGAGCACGAAGTGGGAGAGGGGAGGATTCTAGCACAATTCTGAAGATAAATTTGGCAGAGCTTAATGCTTGATTGTGTGGGGGTGAGAGGAGAAAGAACATGGAGGAGTTGGAGATGACTCCCAAAGGCTTGTCCAATGAGGAGGTCGTGAGGCCATTAACTGAAATAGGAAATACAGTTAACTCTTGAATAACATAGAGTTGAACAGCAGGAGCCCAGTTAGATGAGGATTGTCCCCCTCCAGTTAGGGAGGATGGAAGGGCCTGGGGCTCCCAGTTACTAGAGAGAACTGCTCACTAGGAGATGACTGACATCATATGGAATGCTCAGCACATGCTTCTAACACGTGAGCTCACCGCTGAGGCCACAGGGGGAAAGATCCGAGTATAACTGGGCCCATACAATTCAAACCCATGTTGTTCAAGGGCCAACTATAAATTATCTGTGAATTTTTTGATTGCATGGGAGGTTGGCACCCCTAGCCCCCATATTGTTCAAGGGAAAGAGATTGGGTCTGAGGAGGACATTTAAGATGTTTTGACTTTGCCATGAGGTCTTCAAAGATTCCCCTTTGTAGGTCAGAAATCATTCTTTTCTCTGAGCTACCATAACATATTCCGTATACATTTAGGCTCCCAAAAGTTAGTGGAAGAAAAATCCATTATCTTTCATTCCATTTTTCCACTAACTTTTTGAAGTCTCTTCATACTTTTTTCTTTTTTTAAGCTGCAGTTGCATCAGTCCTCCAGCCCAAGGTGATCCCATGCATGAGAATCATTGTGATCCATTGGGTTTTCATGGGCTGATTTTCTGTAGAGTGCCAGGTCTTTCTTCCTAGTCTGTCTTAATCTGGAAGCTCCAATGAAACCTGTTTCACTTCAAAGCAACATAAACGCTCCATGAACAGGCTACTCAGGAATTAGCCAAGAGTCCAATTTAAGGGTGTGAAAATGGTATGGGAGATGACATCTGACCTTTACATCTAACTTCACAAGAAGGAGAGAAAATGACCATCAGCCCAAATTCATTCCTATGAGGAGGAGGTCAGACACACATTCACTCTTCAACATTTTACCATTCCTGACACCAGCTGCTTCTCCTACAGTACTCTACTTCTATGCTGGGTTTGATAATTCATTGCAATGATCACATGGAACACAGACAGTACAAAAGGGTTTATTAAGGAAGTAGCAGGTTCAAGTTGGAATCAGGATCAGGAAACAGGCTCTCCCAAGATGGGCATCACATCCTTCCCTTCTTCAGTGCAGGGCAGCTCAATCAGCAGTGCAGACAGACCTGAAGACTCCTCTCTCCCTGGACTGTACAGACTTTTAGCTCTGCCAGCAAGTGCCCAGAGGCACTCCACATCACCAGCAAGCCTCCTGAGCCCAGAGGCACTCAGCTATCTTGACCTCTGGGTGAGCACACCCACTGTGGCCCTCGTGCATGTCTCCAGGTTCTGCTGCCACCCTTCTTAGCTCTCTCTGACTCCTGGTCTAGAAGATTCTCAGCATCAGGACCTCGGGTCCAAATAATGGAGTGCGCTCCTAGCTCTTCTTGATGGTAGTGAGGTCCCCTTCTACCTCTGGGATTGTCACTCTTTAAGTCTAGCCCATTAAGGTTCCACACACATTATTATCATGGTATCACCGATGAAATGATGGTGGAAAGAAAGGAGATAGATGGCCGAGTGGCTGCCTGTCATTATGACTTCATGAAGGCGACAGGCCTGTAGCTGACCTGGCCAGATTTCATGTTTCTGTTTCGGCAGCTCTGAGGGGAAGTTGTTTGTTGTTGTTGTTGTTGTTGCTGTGTGCCATCAAGTCGGTTCCATATAGGGTTTCCAATGAACGGCTGGTGAGCTTGAACTGCCGACCTCGAGATTCAAACCGACTTTGAAGTTCAGCGCATTAACCCGCTATGCAACAGAAGGGAAGGTTGGGGAAGATAATCCGCAGACTCAAGGGGCTCCGGACACCTGTACCCTTCCACTACCCTATCTGCGTCTGGACAGAGATTGCATAGGTGCAGAGCCCGGCATCTCGGGGCGTCTGGTGGGGATGATGCTGGAAGGGCCGCTTTAAGAAAAAGGAGGGAGACTACGGATCCGCGCGGCCCTATTAGAGGGCGAGAGGGAGACCCTGGCGCCGCGACATCTCTAAGAGGCGCAATGGCTCTGCTGTCCTGTCCGCGGAGGGGACACTAAGTCCCTAGACCTTCCACTAACGGGGCGGTCCTTCGGCGGATGGGGAGTGCTAAAGCGCATGCAGTTTAGGCTCAAGGGTAGGAGGCGGTCCCGTCCGCGAGGTTCTAGCGCTTTGATTGGCTGCTCTCCAGGAGGCACGAGCTGGGTCTGTGTCCGCACTTTAAGCCTCTACTTTCTCACCTTCCCTCCCTGCCAGGGCCAAGGGCGCGTGCGCGTGCGTGGGCCAGTCTGCCTGAGGGCAAAGGGCGGACAGTTCTGGTCTGGACACCAGATCTTGTGGATTCTAGCATGTCGGGGTCCGAATGGGGGTCGCTGGAGCGGTGTTTGGAGAAGCACCTGCCGCCCGCTGACCTGCGGGAGGTGAAACGCATCCTCTATGGCAAGGAGACCAGGTCTGGGACTCAGAGGCTGAGTTGGGGTGGGAGTGGGGTTGCTAGGCCTAAAAAGTGTGAATCTATGGGGCCAAGGAGAAGGCTTCAAGGTCTGGGGGTTTCTGAGGTGGGGCGATGAGGTCCTGAGTGTGGCGGGTTCCAGGGTGCTTAGGACTTGCAGGGCCAAGGTGACCTCTAAAAGTTGCCCCTCCCCCCAACACACACACCGTCCCTGGAACCTGAGGGGATACTCTTCATGGTCACCTAGCCCCCCTCTTGGCAGAGTGACCAGTGTGCTTCTCACAACCTGTGCTAGGTGCTATCCCGACCCCCTCACCATTCCCCACCCTCCCTGCATGAACCAGCACATCAGGTTCAGTGTTCACCTCAAGTCCCCTTACTGAAGTGGCCTGCCCTCCAGTGGACACTTGGGAAGTCGAGGCTAACTGAATATGCTTGCAGAAGGAACTAGTCCTTCTTCCTGCTGGCTGGTCCCAGTGTGAGTGGCCAGGTCTTTCCCTCATCAGTCTCCCTCATGGCAACCCTGTGTGTGCCGAGTACAGCTGAGTTTCCAAGGTAGTAACCCTTCTGAAACAGATCGCCTGCTCCTTCTTCTGAGGCACTGCTGGGTGGACTCCAACTGGCAATCTAGTGGTCGGGCACTTAACTGTTCGTGCCAATACCAAGCTGGCAAAGACATGCTCCATCTGTTCTTGTTTGTCTTCAGTCCATTCTCTGTAAGACTAGATGGGTCACAGAACCTGTAATTCATGTTCTGTGGCTCCTTTACTTTTTAAAACCTTCCTGTGGCTCCTAGAATGAAACCCAAACACCTGACCCTGCCCACAGGGACCCTTTCAGTCCAGCTCCTAACACATCCTTCCACTTCCATGAGTGTTGGTGGACCCATATTTCCCCCAGCCCAGCCAGGGAGCATGCCTCATCACTTTGAGCAGTGACCTTGAAGCTTGACTAAACAAGAACCACAGACCCATACCGAGAGGGTGTTAGAGGTGGAATGATGGTGGTCAAATTGAACTGGGAGGTTAGGTATTGGGGCTGGATGACCTTCAGGGCCCCTCCCAAAGTTCCCTTCTTGACTTCTTTGGTACTTTCCTAAAGTTGGGGCTCCCAAAGATGAGAATGGATAAGTTTTATGGGTAAGGTGGGCATGATCTCCTGGGTAAGAGGGTAGAGAGAGTTCTTGGGGGTCAGGGAGTAGTAACTCAAGAGAGTCTTAAAAACAACAACAGCAGCAAAACCCTCTGCCACTGAGTCAACTCCAACTCATAGATACCCTACTGAACAGAGTAGAACTGCTCTGTAGGGTTTCTGGGACTGTAGATCTTTACAGGGGCAGACAATCTCATTCATCTTGCTCCCTCAAATAATTTAGTGGGTTCGAACCACAGACCTTGAGATGAGCGGCGCAACTTGTAGCCCACTGCACTACCAAGGCTCCTTAAAAAGTCTTAGGACAAGAGAAGTAAGTTTCCTGCCCATGAGATAAGCCGGATACACTCTGGAGTAGAGCTGAGGTCAGACTGTGGTCTTCTCTCCAAGCAGCTGCCACACTCAGGGAGGCTAGTGAGGTTATGGGTGTGAGGTGGGAGCCAGCTCAGCAACAGTGGCAGGCTAGGCACACGATAACCGAGTCAGTGACTCCTTCTCCTTTTTCTCTGCTCAGCCCTTGCAGATTTTTACCTTTAGGATGGATATTAAGCATTGTCCTCACACAGCCCCTCTTCTTGCGTGAGATTTCTCTATGAACTGAGGTTGTAAACTAAAGATAGAAACCAAAGCCACTGCTGTTGAGTCGATTCCTCCTCATACTGACCCTATGGGACACAGGAGAACTGCTCCCTAGAGTTTCCAAGACTGTAAATCTTTAGAGAAGCACAAAGCCTCATCTTTCTCCTGAGGAGCAGCTGGTGTGTATAAACCGCCGACCTTCTGGTTAATAGCACAAAGTGTAACCTACTGCACCACTGGGGCGCCTTACAGATAGAAAGTTATTTTAAAACAGACAGGCAAACAGCACCTGTTCTGGCTGCGTGTCTATCCCTGCATCCACTCATAGATTACTATTATTATAGGATTGTGTATACAAGGGAGCTTCCAAACATTCATGGAAAAATGAAATTGAAGATAATGGAATTTTTCCACGTATATTTTGAAGCCCTCTCATATCATATGAAAGGAGGGTGAATGGGAATGGGAAGCAGAGACAGGCAGTGGGATAAGTGATGTTACATTGTAGGGATGGCGATCAATGATGCGAAGCAAAATGTGTCTGAATCGGTGAATGGAAAACTACTTTGCTCTATAAACCTTCACCCATTTCACAAATTAAAGAAACAAAAATAAAACAGTTGCCATTGACTCTAACTCTGGGAGGCCCGTGTGTGTCAGAGTAGAACTGTACTCCACAGGGTTTTCCATGGCTGATTTTGAAAAGTAGATCCATCCTCTGGCCTTTCTTTCCAGGGTCTCTGTCTGGGTGGGCTCTAACCTCCAACCTTTTCGTTAGTAGCCTACAGTTCTTTTTGACTCCAAGGAAATAGAAATTTCTTAATCATTGAAAAATTCATTTTCCTACTGTGTGGTTCAAACAGTTAATGCACTCCGCTACTAAGACGAAGTCCTGGTGTGGCTCTGTGGGTTAATGCGCTGGACTGCAAAGTCATTTGAACCACAAGGTCAGTCGCTCAAGCTCACCAGTTGCTCCTCAGAAACCCTATACAGAGTCACTATGAGTTGGAACTAACTCTACAGCACTTAACAACAACACTAACTCAACAACAACACAACAACACTTAACAACAACTAAGACACATCAGTAGAAAGACCTAGAGATCTAGTTCTAAAAAGCCAGCCATTAAAAACCTTGTGGAGCACAGTTCTTCCCTGACACACAGAGTGGCCATGAGTTGGTATCAGCTTAAATACAATGTTGTTATTGTTAAGTGCTGTCGAGCGAGAGTCGATTCCAACTCATAGTGACCCTATATAGGGTTTCCAAGGGGCAGCTGATGAATTTGAACTGGTGACCTTGTGGTTTGCAATCCAGTGCTAATCCTACAGTGCCACACCAGGAGTCCTTAGTGACAATTTGTTGTTGTTAAATGCTGTCGAGTCAATTCTGACCCATAGCGACCCTGTATAGGGTTCCCGAGGAGTAGCCAATGAGCTTGAACTGCCAACCTTGCAATTCAAACAGCTTTGCAGTCTGGCGCATTAACCCACAGTGTCACACCAGGACTCCTTAGTGACAATGTTGTTGTTGTAATGTGCCGTGGAGTCAGTTCCGACTCATAGCAACCCTGTACAGGGTTTCAGGGGCTACAAATCTTTACAGGAGCAGAAAGCCTCATCTTTCTCCTGTGAAACGGCTGGTAGTTTTGAACTGCCAACCCTCAGGTTAGCAGTCCGATTCGTAACCACTACGCTATGGTACCCCCTTAGTTCTTGCAGAAGCCATGCTATGTTGTCTCTAGGAAGGTCTGCTGGCCCCATTCCTCAGCCCCTCTCTGGAATCACACTGTGCTCCAATTCAAAGGAGACACTAGGGAATGAATGAACTCTGCCTGTCCTATGCCAGACCTACATGATCCCCAGAAAATATTGCTCTGACTTTGAAGACAGCCAGAACCAGGAGGTGTTCATTCACTCAATAAAAACAGCCTGAGCACTCGTTACTGTCTTGGGGGCTTGAGGTACAGCAATGAGTAAGCTGTGGTTCCTACCCTCCTCAGGGGCCTTCCTCCTTCTGGAGGAGACAAGCATATAGTTACCCCAGTGTGAGAGAGGGCATGAGGACTGGAGGAAGCTCATCCTTGTAGGAGAGGGGTACAGAGGGCTGGCGGGAGTTCATCCCTGAAAGAGGAGGGTTCAGGGGGCTGAAGGGAGGTTCATGGATTGGAGGATACTTGTCCTTGTGATGGAGAGGGGGCAGGAGACTGGAGAGAACTCACCCCTGTATGAAGTAGATACAAGGGGCTGGAGGGAGCTCACCCCTGTGGGGATGGGGAGGGTGGGAAGGCTTCCTTCAGGAAGACTCCTGAAGATGCAGAGGAGTCAACTCTTTGGTACTCTGGGTCAAGCCCCTAATTCCAGGGGTATGTCTAGTGATGACTGAAGGTGTGAAAGGCAAGTCATAAAGTGCTATCCTGAGAGAGGAGGCTAGATACTGAGGGCTTTGTATCCCATGGATCTGGGGCCCAGGACTGGACCCTGTGGTGGAAATGGATGGAGGAGTGGAGGGGAAGAGAAGCAGGTGAGAAATGGGGAGGCTGACAGTCAACATAGTCCTGCAAGTGGAGAGGAGCAAGATTCTGGAGACCCAGCAGGTGGACAGTGCAGACCACCCTGGGTGGTGGAGGAGGCCAGGATGCTCACCTGGCTTCTAGCTTAGACATTGGGGACTGGCTGCTCTTTTAAGGAGAGCACTCTTGGGAAGGATGAAAAGTTCAACTCGTACCCTTTGAGTTTTGAGGTGCCTTTGGCATCCCCAAGTAGCGGTCCAGTGGCTGTTGGCTGTGTGGAGGTGCCCTGCTGTAGGGACATAAGGGCCAGCGAGCAGTAGGGAATGAAGTGTCCAGTGACTCAGAAATGTTCAGGAAGCCAAGACAGGCAGTTAACTTTTTATAAAGAATTGGGTGACGGTTTATAGAAAACTCCGTTTTCCATTCAAGGATTCATACACATTTTATGTCATTGATTGCCACCCTCACAATATAACCTCACTCATCCCACTTCCTCTCTGTTTCCTGTTTCCATTCCTCCCTTTCCTAACACTTCTGAACTTTGTCCTTGAGTAAATGCTGCCCTTTTGACCTCACATGGTTGATTGTTCTAAGGAGTGTGTACCTCCCTGTATTATTGGCCACCTGTCTATTTTTTGGCTGAAAACTGAGCCACCAGCTGAGCTCTGTTCCAGGCATGAAGGGTGACTAAGGGACACTGTGTTGAGTATCCACCAGTTTCTGTATGACCTATTTTAATGATTTTTAGAAGCCAGAAGGCTATTGACTGGGTCCAGAGCTGTTACTCAGGTGGGGAGTGGCTTCTAGAGGACAGGGGCTCAGGGAAGTTTGTGCTAAGAGACAGGAGTGTGAAGAATGGATTTCCTCTCTCTTTCCTTTTTCCACTTTCTCTCAGACCTTTTTCTCCCTTTCTCTCTCCCCTTCTTGGTCTCTGTCTCCCTTCTCTCTGTCTTCTTTCTCTCTTCTCTCTTGCCTTCTTTCTTCCATGTTTTTCAGTGGCACTGTCTCACTCCCTCTAAGAGTGACCGTGGTAGGTCTGTGCACACTAACAAGGATGGGTGTCTGAGCTGTGTGTGTGGCCAAATGACAAAGGCAGAGCGTCTAGCACCTGCTCACACACAAAATCCCCTAGAGGTGGGAAACCCACCAAACCCACAGATCTTCTCCTTAGGGTTTCTATGGCTGTAAATCTTTACAGAAGCAGACAACCTCATCTTACTTCCTCAGAGTGGCAGATGGTTCAAACTGCCGACCTTGCAATGAGCTGCACAATGCTTAACTCACAGTGCCACTAAAGTACCTTAGGAGTGGGGAGGGGACTTACTTTTCACTTCCCCTCTTCACTCTTTGATCCCCACCCACTCCATGAATATGTAGCACTTTTCTGGAAAAGCTCTAGTTTGAATTATTTAATACGTTGGCTGTGAAGAGCCATTACCACCAGGGAGGGGAGGTGCAGTGAGGTGCAGTGAAGTGGTGGGGTGCTGGATGGGGCAGGATGGGGTAGAACCAGCCAGGCCTCCCACTGTAAGTCCAGCTGACAATCAATAGAGGACACAAGAAGACTTGTGGCTCATGTGCTGGTCCCCCAACGGGGCTGTGGGAACTTAGTCTCCCTTTGAGAACTTTGTATTGTAGTTTGGATGAACGTTTACTGAGCACATTTGTTTCCCATTCAACAATTTATGCTCATTTTGTTTTCTGACATTGGCTGCAATCCCCTCAGTGTCGCTGCACTCTCCCCACTTCCGCCCTGGGTCCCATTTCTGTGATCGTCTTTTCTGCCCCATCCTACTTTCTGAAGGAGCTCTGGTAGCATAAGAGTCAGGCTGATAACTTGAAGGTCAGCAGTTCGGAACTACCAGCCATTGGAGAAAGATAAAGCTTTCTGCTCCTGTAAAGATTTATAGCCTCGGAAACCTTGTGCAGGGTCGCTATGAGTCAGAATCTGCACACCACCACCACCACTTGCTTCCTGAGCTTTGTCTTTGGGCACATGTTGCCCTTTTGGCATCATGGGTGTCTCGAGTTTGCATTGAATGAGGCTGCACCAGGTGTAGCTCAGGCCGGGTTCTCCAGGGTAAGTGGGCAGGATGCGGTGCTGGGATGCTTGGGTGATGGGGAACCGGGGCCCTGTGGGAAGTAGCCTGTGAGGGAACAGGAGGCCTGGGTGGCAAAGTGACCATTCACTGGGCTGCTCACCAACAAGTTGTAGGTCAAAGCCCTCCTCAAATTGCCTCAGAAGAAAAGTTGACAATCGACTTCCAAAAATCACCCACTGAAAAGCCTGCGGAGCACAGTTTTCTACTTTGACACACATGGAGGTTGATTCGATGGCAGCTGGGTTTTTTTGTTTTGCAGGGAACTGAGATGAGAGGGCAAGGCAGCCCCAGAGGTGGAGACAGAAAGGGGGTTTGTGTGTTTGGATTGATGGTGATAGGGGACGATGGGGTGAGGACAGTGCGTAGAGAGAAACCTGAGACAATGGTTCCAGCTCTTCCACAGGACATCTTCCTGGGCTGAGAAGCCAAGGCTGATGGGGATAGGGCTCACCAAAACCACCCCAAAGTCCCACTGCAGGCCTCTCTTTTCCTAAGGGCTGGCCGGAAGTGCCATTACAAAAGCAGTGCCCGTTGGCAGAGATGGGGATGTGCTGTTGGCAACCCGCTGAGGGAGCACGTGGAAGGCAGGCTGATTGTCAGGGGCGGAACTGAACTGGGAGCTGTCAGGGGGTGGCGAGGCACGCAGGGGCTGACAGCGCTGTGATTTTGAAAGGAACGTCTTCAAGAGTGATTTCAAGTGGGAGAAGAGTGTTATCTTTAGATCACAGCTGTCAGGTTATCACTGATGTGTTCTTGGGGTATTTCATAACTACCTCACCCTTGAATGGGACGCCTGCCTGTCCAGGAGCCATGGTCCCAGGACTTTGAGCTGTTTGTTTGTTCACTTGGGGCCAGGCGTACAGTGGGGGTCAAGAGGTATTTGCTATCGGTGAGGAGATTTTGTAAATAATCCACTGGACATTACCAACTAGCCATCAGCCAGGATGTGCACAGGGGCCTCTGGCTTGATGGCTGGAGTGGGAACCTCTCACCCAGCGCAGGTGCCAAGCAGACCCCATGGTAGGAGCCACATCCAGATAGGCAGGAGGTCACTGAGACAGTCCTAGAGGGGCATGCCACAACATCCCACCCCACCAGCATCTCCTAAGCCACATATTCTTCATACTCAACAATCCCTTCAGCTCTTCCCCAGACTTAGCTCAGCTCTCGGAGGCTAGTTCTTTTGTCATTTTTATAATCAATTTCCCTCTCTGCTGACTGCTGGGACTTGAACTCCTATCATTTTGACACCTTGAAATGCTGTCCCTCTGCCAAGGTCTTCACCACTCTACCTCCCAGGAGAGCCCAGCCTTGTCACTGTGGTGTCCAACTCCTACCCCCAAACCCCCAAGTCAGCCCCCTTGCCCTCATCTCTTCATCCCCCACGAAGAGTCGCTCAGAAAGGAGGGTTCTAAACACAGCAGACCTCATCAAAACTGCCTCCCTCCTGCCCTCCTGCATTCTTTAGGAAGCTTGAGCTGCCCAGCTCAGCCCTGGACACAGCCTCTGCAGGGGACTTTGAACTGCAGGGCTATGCCTTCGAGGCGACCAGAGAGCAGCTGAGACCGCCACGCACCGTGCGTGTGGGGCTGGTGCAGAACAGGACACCCCTCTCCACGGATGCCCCGGTGGCTGATCAGGTATGCCTCCGTCACTGTACATGGCATGGTGTGGCCCCTGGCTGGCCATGCTCCCATGCCAAAGCACAGTGCCCACGGGGGTCACAGGGATGGCCTGTCCCCACCAGCCTGCTTTCTCTTACCATCTGCTGCTCTCCCCTGTACCTGCTCATCCCTCGCCATCCACCCACCTTGTCCTTGGATCCTCCCCTGATATCGATCTGAAGCTCCATTTACCAATTAAAAGGACACACTTTGACAGCTAGCGGTCTCCTGCCATCCGTGTCCCTGGTTGAGGACAAGCTCTGCTTGGAAGTGTCAGCTGATGGCACCTCTTGGGAGGCTATTGGGATTTGTTGGGCCCCCCATGACCTTACAGGCAGTGTACCCATGTGACCCTAAAACACAAACCCATTGCTGTCTAGGTAATCCTAACACACAGTGACCCTATAAGGGGGCTTTGAAAAGTCCCTGCAAATTTTCATTATCTTTCATTCCATTTTTCCATAAACTTTTTGAAGCTCCCTTGTATAGGGCAAAGGTGCCCTGGTGGTGCTATAGACTAAGCACTGGATTGTTAACTGTAAGGCTGGCAGTTGAAACCCATCAACCACTCCACAGGAGAAAGATGAGGCTTTCTGCTCCCATAAAGATTTGCAGTCTTAGAAATCCTATACAGTCGCAACTGACTCGACGACACCTCACAACAACGGTAAGACAGAGTGGAACTGCTCCAGAGGACTTCCCAAGGTAGTAAATCTTTATGAAAACAGACAGACTTATCATCCCCTCTGTGAGCAACTGGTGGGATTGAACCGCCGATCTTTCACTTAGCAGCCCAATGGTGAGCCTACTGAGCCACTAAGGCACCAAGCCAGGCTTATCCCTCATTTCCTTCCTCAGGTCTCTGCCCTTCACAGACGCATCGAGACCATAGCAGAGGTGGCCGCCATGTGCAAGGTCAACATCATCTGCTTCCAGGAAGCTTGGAGTAAGTCTTGGTTGCTGCTTCTTCCTTTGCCGCCTTCAGACAGTAGTGTTCCAAGGGGATGTCGAGAAGTTCTTGCAATTCCATTTTTCCAATAACTTTTTGAACCCCTCCCACCAATAAGGTCTCCATGTTGTCAAAAGTGTCAACTTAAAAAAATGTGTCCTTCCTTTCTTACTCCTAAAAAAGTTCTTTGTAAATAACAACAGGAGCCCAGGCAGCCCTTGTGTGCATCCTCGTCTATGGTTTGGTCCTCTCACTTCCATCTGCTAAATGATCCAAGTCCACTCATACCTTCCCACCTCCCAGCACTGCCCTGGACCAAGTCAGCAGCAGCTTAGCTTGTCCTGGGCTTTTGAGATTGCCTGGTCTCGTGGGGATTTTATTTTACTTTAAGTAAGTAAAGAAGTGCTCACTGATGTGTTTATTTCTTGCAAGGTAGTCTCACCACAGAGCCCAGACATTCATGTAGACCTGGAGAACTGAGACAGATAAAGGTCTTCCGAGAAAACCCACTGACACAATTCTGACACCCAGCTACCCTGTAGGACAGAATAGACTTGATGCATAAGTTTCCAAGCCTGTCAATCTTTACAGAAGCAGGCTGCCTCATCCTGGGGGTGGATGTTGTATGAGGACCACCTGCAAAAGTCCAGCCTTGGAGAGGTTGGGGCCAGTGTGTAGGGAGTGGAGGCTACCCAGATGAGTTCTTGGAATGGGTTCTTGGGAGAGGTGGAAGGGTGGGTCCAGAACTGACCTTGCCTGTTGCAAATGCTCTAGAGACTGCTTCAAGACTGAGAAGTGCCTTATGTATGGCAAACGCAAACCCAAATTCACTGTCACTGAGTTGATTGTGACTCACAGTGACCCAACAGGACAGAGTAAACTGTCCATAGGGCTTCCAAGACCAAATCTTTATGGAAGCAGACTGCCTTGTTTTTCTTCTTTGGAGCCGATGGTTTTAGACTGCTGATCTTTCAGTTAGTTGTCCAGTGCTTAACCCACTGTACCACCAGGGCTCCTTAGTAGTCTAAGAATAAAGTCCAAATCGTCAACTGTTAACATGTAGTCTCAGGGTGATGGCTTGTAACAGCAACTTGTCCTCAGGGAAACGGACCCAGGGGTCTGAGGTCAGTGTCAGTGGGCAGAATCTAACAGCATCTCCAGTTTTCAGATCAGGCAAGGGTCTCAATGGACAGAAAGTCATTCTAACTCTGCCTTGCTCTTATTGGAACATCAAAGTCCAGAGTTTTTCTGGGACTAGACATTGGGCTGCTAACCTGAAGGTTAGTGGTTCAAACCCGTCAGCAGTTCTGTGGGAGAAAGATGAGGCAGCTTGCTCCCATAAAGATTTATAGTCTCGAAAACCCTGTGAAGCAGTTCTACTCTGTCTTATTGGGTCGCCATGAGTGGGAATTGAGTTGATGGCCGTGGGTTTGTTTTTTTGGTTTTATGTACTCCTCATTATGGAAGAGGAGAGTACTTGTCCTTGGCATCCCCTTGCCCTTTCCACACACATGGACCCTTCCCGTTCCATACTCCATTAGTTCTCTGCCAAGCCATTTTGTAACCTTTAAATCTTTTTCCTGAAAAACTCTCTTTTTCTTGGATTTGGCTTAATTTTTTACACACTTACCACAAAGTCAACCCCAAGCTTTCTGCCTCTTTCTTCAGTTCCTTTCAGCTGTCTGTCCATTTTAGCTCCTTGAAGGAATCTGTCCTGAGCCCTCTGACCACGCTGGTCTGAATGAGCACCCCTTCCACTGGCTGCATAGCTGCCTTCCTGGGATCTCTATGCACCCTTTTTCTGGGGGAGTGTCCCCTGCCAGGTTCTTGAGATTCTTCTACCCTACATTCTCCCTTTTCTTGGTTTACTTCAGGTCATCCAAACTTTCACATATATGTGGTGATGGTGGCTGTGTGCCGTGGAGTCGTTTCCGAGGCTGTAAATCTTTACGGGAGCAGAACACCTCATCTTTCTCCCACGGAACAGCTGGTAGTTTCGAACTTCTGACCTTGCGGTTCGCAGCCCGATTTGTAGCCACTCACATATATGTAAGGCGGTTGAAATACCATGCCTTGGGTCAACATCAGATTTGCTTAGTGCAATTCGTCATTTGATTTCTTGACTGCTACTGTCACGCATATTGATAGTGGATCCAAGCAAAATGAAGTCATTGACAACTTTAGTCTTTTCTCCATTTATCATGGTGTTATTTTTTGCTCCAGTGTGAGGATTTTTTTTCTTTACATTGAGGTGCAACCAATACAGAAGGCTGTAGCCTTCGATCCTAATCAGTACTTTAAGTCCTTTGCTTCCAGCAAGCAAAGTTGTATCATCTGCATGTCACAGACTGTTAAGTCTTCCTCCAATCCTAATGCCACATTCTTCTTCATATAATCCAGCTTCTTGGATTATTTGTTCAGCATACAGATTGAATTCATGTATGCAGATTGGTAGCCTAAACATTACTTCTGCTATCATGTTTTGAATTTATGATAGCTATGTTCCTTTATGTACCGTGGACTGCCAAAAGAACAAATAGATCTGTGTTGGAAGAAGTACAGCCAGAGTGCTTCTTGGAAGCCAGGATGGCCAACTTCATGTCTCATACTTTGGACATGTTGTCAAGAGGGACCAGTCACTGGAGAAAGATATCATGTTTCATAAAGTGGAGGGTCAGAGAAAAAGAGAAAGAACCCTCCCCCCACCCCCACAGCAAGATGGATTGGCACAGTGGTGGCAACAATGGGCACAAATGTAGTAACGATTTAAGAGGTTGGCCCAGGCTCAGGCAGGGTTTCGTTTTGTTGTACATAGGGTTGCTATGAGTCAGTGCCAACTTGATGGTACCTAACATTAACAACAACAGTGTTCCTTTTCAAGTCCTGGTGTGGTGTTGTAAAAAAAAACCCTGGACTGATAACCACAAGGTTGGCAGTTCAAGCCCACCAGGTGCTCCTTAGAAACCCTATACAGGGTCACTATGAGTCAGAACTGACTCAATGGCACTTAAACAATAACATATATTCCTTTTATGGAGTCCTGATATGGTACTGTAGGATAAGCACTGGACAGCTAACTGCAAGGTTGGTGGTTCAAACCCACCAGCCACTACTTGGAAATGCTATACAGGGTAACTATGAGTCTGAATTGACTTGACAACACTTAACAACAACAATAGCAGCATATTTCTTTTGGTGATCTGTGTTATATCACATCTTGTTCTTGGTGTATAATTGCAATATCTTTTCTCTAAGGGTAATTAATATCATATATATTTCCCCCTGCATAGTTCTTACTTCAAACTGGTCTATTAAATATATATATAAATGTCTGCTTATACAAGGACATTGTTGTTGCTGTTAAATGCTGTCCAGTCGGTTTCAACTCATCACTATGACCTTTATACAAAGGTAAGTTAAAAAAAAAGATTGCTACTAAGGTTTCAGTTCATATGTACGTAGGCTTATTTAAACATGTCTCTGTGATCAGTAGATGACTGCAGACACGATCTCTCAGGAAAACATTTGTCTCCATTTCTGTAAGATGCCTTCAGAAAAAAAGTCCCATCTACACAGTGGTTTCTAAGAGGATCTGTTGGACCAAAAATGTCAGTTCAGAAGGTCATGGCAAAGAGAACAAAGAAGATGGTGGAGAGGGTGGAAGTGCAGTGAAGAGCTCCATCAGCAACAACACAGAATACCGGACCAAGCAGGCTCAGGGGATGGTGCCAGAACTCTGAATCACATATAAAGGAATATTTCTCAGGTTGGAAGGCTTACGGCTAGAAGAATTTGTAGCAGAAGCAAGAAATCCATTGCTTTCTAATTCAAGAAGCTTGGCTGCTCCCGGAGCCGCCATCTTGAGTGAGACCAAGCAGGGGAAGGATCAGAGCAGCCACAGACGCCTGACAGAACCACAGAGATAAAGGAAGAAGAGTGAAAAGGGAAGACCCTCTCTTGATCACATCTACCTGGAGGCAATCAGAAAGCATAAAAAATACCAAAATACACACCCATCTAAGTATTAAAGCCACAGATAACTCCTGAATATGCCCCAAAAAACAGAAGCAGATACCATATCAGCACATGTCCAGAAATGAGATAAAGTGACTGAGGCAAATGAGCTGGAAGTAGACCTACACTTCATACTGGAAGGTGGGCAGGCTTTGGAAATGCCTGAGAAGGAATTCAGAAAAATGATTATAAAATGTATCAAAACACTATACAATGGAGTTGAGAAAAATAAGGAAGAAGTCAGGAAAGCACTACAGGAACAATCAAATATGATAGATACAGCATTGGAAACAATTCAAAACCTACAGAAAGAGGTCCAAATGATTAATAATAGAATATCAGAAATGGAAAATACACTGAAAGGGCAAAGGAATAGAATTGAAGAGATTGAAGACAGAACTAGTGAGCTAGAAGATAAATCTCTCAACACTACTAAGATAGAAGAACAAACACAAAAAAGGATAAAAAACAAACAAACTGAAAAAGGCCTAAGATTCAGACTAGATAACATGAAGAGGAATAACTTAAGAATTATCGGATTCCGGAACAGGAAGAATCACACAAGTCCACAGAGGAGATAGTTGAAGATCTTCTGGAAGAAAAATTTCCTAACATCCTGAAAAGTGAAAAGATAAGCATTCAAGAAGCTCTATGAACCCCAGGAAGGATAGACCCTAAGAGAAAATCACCAAGACATATAATAATCAAGCTCTCCAAAATAAAAAAATAAGGACAGAATCCTGGAAGCAGCTTAAGAAAAGAGAAGTGTAACACACAAAGCAGGCAAATCAGATTAAGCTCAGATCTCTCAACAGAAACCATGCAGGCAAGAAGGCAATGGGGTGACATATATAAAACCCTGAAAGAAAAGAAACTGCCAACCAAGAATCCTCTACCCAGCAAAGCTGTCAATCAAATACGACGTTATAATCAAAACATTCCAGGATAAACAGAAGCTAAGGGATTTTGCCAAAGCCAACCCTGATATGAAAAATATCCTAAAGGAAGTTCTGTGGACTGAGAACCAACAAAAACAGACAACAACTAGAGAATGACGTACGTGGCAGCATCACTCTGAACTCAGTTGACAAATGGAAAAATCCAGAACAGAATAAAATGATAAGAACAGAGGATCTGGGAGGTCAGTCTATGATCAAAACAATTACAATGTGAAAGAAGGTAAACACAGAGGAACAGAGATCCAGGTGGTGAGAAGGGTCAGGTACATTACAAGATAAAATAGACTGTCTTAAATGGAGGGAAGAATTAATGGAATATAAGTTAACCACAACAATGGGGTTGGGGTGGGAGGTTTAGTTCGGGTGTTGGGGAGGGCAATACAAGAAGGGGGTAGAGGCGGAAGAACAAGATAGCTAGGGGAACACTGAGACAGGTTTGCTTGGCCTAAGTGGGACAGAGGTAAATAGTGATGCATGCTCAACCTTGGAACAACAGGGCTGTGGGATACAGGTATCTAGGTATAGCTTGAAGAGGGGAAATAATACTAAAATGCTTGACTGCCTTATGAATATTAGTTTCCCTTGCCTACTATTGTAGAATAGACACTTGAGTGGGATAGAAAGGAATGTTGGAAAACATGATTAGAGAAAACATGTAAGCCCGCCTTCAGTCTATAACTGATTAGAATACCTAAAAGGGGTTCTAGAACTTCCCCAGTGAAATAGGCCTCGTACAAAGCCTTTACAGAGTATAGGGCCTTAGGGTGAATCCTGAGTCCCATCCAGAACCTTATGAGGGGGGACATTCCCACTAGAAAGGACAAGCAGACCAGCCTGGAACAGCTAGAGCAACAGAAGATACATCTTCAAAAAAAGATCATCTGGAAAAACGCAAAACAAAAACGTCATCATGACTGGCTACTACAAGAATAAGCAAGCTGTTTGCCAGGAAGACATCAAGGCTAGTGATCAAGATCCTTCAGGACAAACTCCCTCTAAGACTGAAACTCAAAGGGAACACACAAACAAGCATGTAAGCTTGCTGGCGACCACATGGGTCTACTGGTGAGTGAAAGAGGGGGAAAGACAGCAATGAAGAAATGGGCTGAGTTCAACCACAGTCCATTGACTTCTGTTGTCCTGGAGATGAAAGACAGAAGAGGAAGGGCTGGTTGGTCCAAAGTGTGGTGAGACCTGAGGACACTTGAGCCCATGGACAAGGACATAGCCACAGAGGGCTAGAGCTGAGAGTGAAGCACCCAGCTGATTTGAAGTGAGGGAAGATACACAAGAACACTCAAACTTGCAGACAGTACCCATTTGACCTAGCCTAGATGGCTCAATAATCATTAAGAACTCAGCTAGAGGAGATGATAACAACAACAACAACAACAAATTTTTTGATAAAGGAAGCAAGGGTAAATTGCTACAATTTGATGAACCTGACCTATACTCAGAGAGCTAGTTACAGAGAGGGAAGGAGTCTTCACATCAAGTATCAAAGCTATCTCCTCTGTACACAGGGTCAATAGGGACGGGCAACTTAGACACTGGCTACCTAAAATGAGGGGGCGATAAAGGCATGAAGAGTTTCTCAAAGGACACAGGACAATCATGAGGGATTGTATGGAGAAGTTTTAGTAAATGGAAAACTGCGTTGGTGAGAAAATGGCCAGGCAAGTTGTGCCAAGGAAATTTTTTTTTCCCATCACAAAAATGCACCTGCTAATTTTTTCAAGATAGCAAGGGTTGTCATATGAGAATTTCATTGGGAAATGAAATTTCATTACCTCATCCACCCTACAGCCCTGATTTTGCCCCTTCAGACTTCTTTTTGTACTCCAAAGTCTAAGAACAGTTCAAAGAAACACAATTTGAGTTCCTTGAGGATGCCCAAACTTTAATTTGACATGGTGTAAACTGGTAGCATAGTGGTTACGAATTGGGCTACGAACCGCAAGGTCAGCAGGTCGAAACTACCAGCTGCTCCGCGGGAGAAAGATGAGGCGTTCTGCTCCCGTAAAGATTAACAGCCTCGGAAACCCTGTGCAGGGTTGCTATGAGTCGGAACCGACTCCACGGCACATAACAACAACAACAAACCGAAGAGCACAGACTTTTTCAAGGAATTGTTAGAGAACTGGATAAACCTTCTTCGGAAGTCTATAGACCTAAGTGGAGGTCCCTGGGACCATCAAGGGAGAAGAGCGGAGAGCAGGACCTTATCTAGAGAAGCAGCGATGCCTGAGATGGAGGCAGAGAAGATGATGCAGAGAGGTGGAGCAGCTGGGGACTTTAGACCTAGAGAGGGAGAGGGACTGTGTGCTGACAATCGGGAGCAGGCTTGTAGGGTATGCCCTTTGGTTGGTTGATGGTGCATGGAGGGGATTGTAACCATGGCAATGAAACGATATACGATAGGATGAATGTAAAACTAATGTTCTCCCATGTAAACTATCACATAATTCACAATAAAATATTTAAAGAAAAAAACAAACAAACAAAAAAGTCTATAGACCTAGATGGAGGTTATGTTGAGAAACAGTAGCATCACATAAAGGTTCCTATGATTTTGTGTCAGTTCAAATCTACTGGCCACTCGGCTGCTGCTGTGTGCCTTTGAGTCGGTTCCAACTCATAGCAAACTTGTATAGGATATATCCAAGACTATAAATCTTTATGGGAGCAGAAAGCCTCATTTTTCTCTTGTGGAGCAGCTGGTGGATTAGAACTGCTGACCTTGTGGTTAGCAGTCCAGTGCGTAACCCACTATGCCACCAGGGCAGCCTTGGAAACGCTTATTCAGGGTTGCTATGAGTCGAAACTGACTTACAGGCAACAATCACTACCACCATGATTTTGTAGCAAGACTTCTTTGCTTACCTTCATATTTTCATAACTAGAAATTGAAGAGCTGATTGCAAGCTCTGCGTTTGTAGAGGGGCTGAGCTTGAGATTCCTTACGGGCTAGTCCAGAGCAGCTGTTTGTTAAGTGATCCATCTGCTGGTGTCTTCAGGTCGTTCCTTCCAGGCTGCTCAGATCCCCAGAGAGAGCTTTCTAATCTCCTGCCAAGAAGGAAGAGGACTGGGCCCCAGATTGCTGGTGTTTTCATAATCCCTTCACCACTTTCCCTCTCCTTCATCCATCTAGCCATCTCCAAGGCCATAGAACCTCCACTAAATCCTCTCTGGAGAATGAATCTCCAGACTTCCCTGGGTGGAAGAGTCTGGGCATCGAACTGTTTCTTAAGATACCTTCCCGATTCCATACCGTCATGGTCTGCAGCGGAGTCTGCAGTGGAGAGTGGCTTCTCCTTGGCCTGCTCGACTGTTGGGGACTTGATGTATCTCAGACCCACTGAGATATTAGGAGACTTCAAAAATCTTTCATGATCTTTTCAGTCCATTTGTCCATGAGCACAGGAACCTGGCTCCCTCTTGCTTGAAAAGGCCATGGTGTTGAGACTCTGCAGCCCCCCCAGAGCCTCCCAGTCCCAGCCCAGAGCCTTCTTTGTCATGTTTGTTGACATTAAAGCGCTTGTGTAAACAGGAAGAGAAGCCAGAGAAATGAAGATGGAGATTTTTGGAGCGAGATGGAGAAATGAGAGTTTGGTTCCCTTGGGACACGCGTTGTCTCTCCACGTCCTGAAAGCTGAGAAGTAATGGCCATTAAAAGACATTTTTGTTACTGCCAGCTTTTTTGTTGTTCTCCTTAAAATAGCTAGTCGCTCTTCCTGAGCTGGGGCCTCCAGGGCTGTTGCTGGTAGCAGATGCTACCCACTTACCTGGATGGCATGGTGGTGCCTTCTTGCTAGCACAGGAGTCCTGGTAGCACCATGTGTTAAGCTTTGGGCTGCTAACTGGAAGCTGCTCCACAGGAGAAAAATTAGGCTGTTTCTGTAAAGACTGACAGCTTTGGAAACCCTAGGGAGCAGTTCTATCCTGTCCTACTGGGACAGTATGAATTGGAATCGACTCGATGGCAGTGTGTTGGGTTTGGTTTTAATTTCTAGAAAAGCAGATTACTAGGCCTGTCTTCCTCAGTTCCACTAGATTAGCAACCAATCACAAACTCCTTGTGCCACTCAGGCTCCTGGGGAGAAATATTTATCCTTGGCTGTGTGCATCCTATCCTGTGGTATCCAAAGTTCATGTGGGGTCACTAGAAGTACCCCGTCCCCAGGAGGAGGCAGTTGGTATGGTAAAGTGCCCAAGGGCCCACCTGAAACTTCTCCTGAGGGGTCCTGGCTGGCTGAGCTCTTACCACTTGCAGGCCGAGCTCTGCAGACTGGGAAGCAAGCCAGGCCATGGCACTCCTGAGAGCTTGTTCTTCTGGGGTGACTCCACCTCTCCCTGACTACTGGGCTGAGGGCTCTGAGCTGTGAGCAGTGGCTGTTTGTCCTGAGTCTGCCTTTCTCCCAATTCCAGCTATGCCCTTTGCTTTCTGTACGAGAGAGAAGCTTCCGTGGACGGAATTTGCCGAGTCAGCAGAGGATGGACCCACTACCCGATTCTGCCAGAAGGTAGAATGTTAATTGAACGTAATGTCTCCACCAAAAGCAGCTGCCAAATAGGAGAGCAGGTCACAGCTCGACCACTGCTGTAAATGCACCAGCCTGGTACTTACTTTACAGAGAAGGTGGTGGTTGTTGTTAAGTCCCATCGAATTGGTTCCAACTCACAGCCACCCTGTGTAGGGTTTCCAAGGAGCCGCTAGTGGCTTTCAACCACAGACCTTGCAGTTAGCTATCCAGTGCTTACCCTACAGCACTACACTAGAACTCCACAGATAAGATTAGGTGAGACTGTTTGCCTCCTTTATTAGTGACCTTTCACTTAATCACAAGGAGCCCCGATGGCACAGTGGGCTACTAACCACAAGGTCAGCAGTTCAAACCCAGCAGCCGATCCATGGGAGAAAGATGAGGCAGTCAGCTCCCATGAAGATTGACAGCTCAGATATTTTACTCTGTCCTATAGGACCGCTATGAGTCAGAATTGACTCAGTGGCAATGGTTTTGGTTTTTTGGGGGTGGTTTCACTACATCACACTGTTTCTGAGTCAGAAAGGCCCTTAGTGGCTTTCTTCACATGGGGTAGCCTGAGGTGGGTATGCTGCCAACAAGTGGCAGAGCTGGTACCTCGGGACACCTGGTTCTTAATGCTGTGTTCCGAGCTCTACTCCCCCAATTTTGCCATTTGCTTGAGCTTTGTAAGCTTCGTAGAGTAGCCTGTCTCATCGGGGCAGAGATTTTTTTCTTTATTAAAACCTTGTAACACATGTAGTACACTCCTATTTAGATGAAGTGTCCAGAACAGGCAAATCCATAGAGACTTACAGGAGATTAGTGGTTGCCTAGAGCATGGGGAGGGACTGCTAAGATTTCTGTTCGGGGGTGATGAAAATATTCTACAATTAAATAGTGGTGACGGTTGCATAACTGTCAATATGTTAAAAACCACTGACTTATATGCTGCTTGCAAAGAAATTTTATGTTACGTAAATTATATCTCAACAAAGCTCTGGTGGTGACACAGTGGGTTGAGCATTAGGCTGCTGTCAGGTTGGTGGTTCAAACCCATCAGCTGCTCTGTGGGGAGAAGATGTGGCAGTCTGCTTCTTAAAGAAACTCTGTGGAGCAGTTCTGCTCTGTCCTAGAAGGTCATTATGAGTCAGAATCGACTTGACGACAGGGAATTTGGATTTGGGTACTCTATTTTTACCCAAACAATCAATGCACATTCTATGTTTCTGCCATGCCAGAACCATTTTACTTAATTTCATCATTTCTATATGTTATAGGTGGTGGTGGTAGTGGTTCTGTGCTGTAGAGTCGGTTCCAACTCATAGCGACCCTGTACAGGGTTTCCCAGGCTGTAAATCTTTACGGGAGCAGAAAGCCTCATCTTTCTCCCACAGAGAGAGCTTCAAAAAGTCTGTGGAAAATTTTCATTGTCTTTTGTTTTCAATTACATTATCTTTTCATTCCATCTTCTCATGAAGTTTTGAAGCCCTCTCCTAGGTGCAGGCATGATTTTAAAGGGGCGTATATTACCATACTTGTTCAACCTGTATGCTGAGCAAATAATA